TCTGCGATTTATTGTGTGTACCGTCCCCCGTCTTCCGAAGTTTGTGACGGTTCTTTTTTGACAGATACTATCCAGGATCTGTATTCTGTTCCACTTACAACAATTGTTTTGGGAGATTTCAATATTGATATCTTGTCTGCTACTCCTCTCAACAATAGCTTGATCTCATTTTTATATGAGGCAACTATTGATTTAATATTTTCTTCTCCCAACGTTGTCAAAAAAATTAAGACCCTCCCACATTTTGGCACGTCGGATCATAATGTAATTCAATTTAACGTGAAATTCAGTGTTAGCAAAGATACTTTCAATCTATGCCCGGACTTCCGCGAAGCAGATTTTGTAGAAATCAATAAGGCTCTCGAAGAAAATAACTGGTTGCGTCTTTTTGAAAACTAGCCGGCGGTCCCGGTTTCACTCGGGACTCCAGTTTAGCTAAGAAGAAGTTACTTATACTTACGCTTTTGAGCTTCTTCTGCACAAAAAGGGACTTGAAACGAATTGCCTGCATCTTCCCGACATTAAGATTAAAATGAGATTTACCATACCCTGACTACATGATCACGGCAGAATGATTGGTTAGAGCATGTCAAGCTCATTTTCCTAGATGTAAGTAAACAGATCAACAAATCAATAGAAGAGTTCAGTAAATCGCCGCGAAAAGTAGCCTGTGTTCTGCGCCAGTGTCGAAAACATAAGTGTGCAAAGCTTCAGCTCATTTGGTCCACTGAGAAAGATTTGTATAAAAAACATACTTATTAACAAACAAACACACTTTGAGTTTTATATATATAGATTACGAAAATGTTGAGGATCTTTACAAAGCTTCTGCAGGAAACTGTACGTAATCTTCGCTGAACATGTCCCCTTCCGCTTTTCGCGGAAGGGGGCATTTTCCAACCAACCTCAGGACCATCCGGTTCACATTCAAAATTTACTGGAACAAAAATCTCGACTTTTCTCGCAGTTGCGTGATCCTCTGCATAATGTTTATACAGAAAGGTCGTTAAAGATATCAACCATCACATCAAGAAATACTTGAAAATCGGGAACGACGTTTTTCTAGATATAACTTTAGGGAGCTTTATGGATTTCTTAGAAATGTAACGAAAGGGCAACAAAAAATTTTCAACTTAGAAGATGAGGAAGGACGTTTACTTATAAGCGAAAAGGACAAAGCTGAAGCGCTTGCGAATTACTTCGCTTGCTTTTTCAGTGAGAAATCTTTGAGCACTCAAGAAAATGAGGATTTTCTGTGTCGTACTACTGTTCGAATCAGTTCCTCCTGTCCAAATATGTACATTGAACCCACGAAAGTTTACGACATTCTAAGAGAACTGAAAGTAACAACAACTCACGCATACGATGGAATTCCACAGATAGTCTTCCGTAGATGTGCTCGTACTTTAGCTTACCCTTTGACCTTCATTTACAACGCCTCTTTACTACTTGGAGAAGTACCAAAAGTCTGGAAAGAAGCCCTTGTAACAATTATACCTAAAAACGGGCACAGCAATGCTCTTTCCAATTTTCGCCCAATCAGCGTCACTGCCCTTGCTGGAAAGATACTGGAAAAACCTGTAAAGGAGACTTTATATGAATGGCTAGAAAAGAACAAAATTTTCCCAGCAGTTCAAAACGGCTTCCTTCCTGGGGGATCAACTATTGCTCTCAGACTCACTTTACGACTGAGTCACCACTATGAATAGAGGCGAATCAGTGGACATTGTTTTTTCGATCTACCTAAAGCATTCGACAAAGTTTCACACTCTAAGTTACTTTTAAAGCTCGAAAACTATGGTGTACGCGGTCAGTTGCTTGCTTGGTTAGCATCTTACTTAAGAGATCGAGGGATAACTATCCGTGTTGGGAACAGTTTTTCAAGTCGTTTTCCTTGCAGCAGTGGAGCGCCTCAAGGTGGTATACTGTCACCACTCCTGTTTCTCACTTACACTGCAGAATTACCGGACCTCTTGGAAACGCATCGTGGTGTCAAGATTCAGGTTTTTGCAGATGACATAAAAATTTCCTTTTGTCACAGAGAAGCGGAGGCAAACATAGCGTTGGAAGCTGTTTCTTCTTCGATAAACGAGATGGTACTTTGGTCGAAAGAGTGGGGTCTTCCACTTAATGCTCTCAAATCGAAAGTCATGCATCTAGGAAACTGTCTACCCCACACGTACGTGTGTGACGGAATAGATCTTGAGCATTGCAGTGTTACTAGAGATCTAGGAGTTCTTGTTGACAATAAGCTCAGCTTTTCATTACACCGAGATTTAGTCACTAAAAAGCCCCTATCCATCCTCTTTGTCATCCCGAGAAATATTGACAGCAATGATGCATACCTCCTAGTATGTTTGTATAAGACTTATGTTTTACCACTTCTGAAGTACGCGTCTCCCCCGTATGAAATGCTTTTTTGAAGAGAAATGTGGAAAAGCTAGAAAAGGTTTAGAAAGCATTCACTAGAACAATTTTTTACAGATGCTATCCTAGATCTGATTATCCTCAGTCTTTGCTTACTTACAGAATGAGACTATCCGCTTTGGGCCTACGCAGTCTAAAATACAGAAGAATTCGTAATAATTTAATTATTCGTTTTCACATTGTCCGCTTAGAAACTAGACTGAGACCAAGCAAATACTGGGTGTTCAGGCCTTGTGGAAACCGAGGAGGTTTTTTCGTTGGGCAGAAATTCTTTAGAATTTCCGAAAAGCTAGGCACAATGGACGTTGCGCAGACTTTAAACATAGTTGACTTCTAAACACGAAGCCTTCAACTTTTTACAAAAACATCCGCTAATCTCGCACAAATTTCTCACTTTGAAAACAGTTTGATTGCTACAGTTTTGGAACTTTTGAGCGGGGGACGGTTAGGAGGCACGATCGGCGCGAAGTTTTCGCGAAGCGACGTCGCAGCATACTTCAGCCCTTACAACACTCCTGGCGCAGTCCTTCTTATAGCATTAAATCATGTATCTGCCGCCACCCTCAGCCCCGTTTTTGCTGCCGGGAATGTCTATTGGCGGAGAGTTTTGGAGGCCCAAGATTTGAATGCGGCGTATGCGGAAGAGTGGCCGCCGCGCGCGGCGTACTTCCTGACATGCAGCCCTTTTGAGTACCAACAATTCGAGTAAGGTTGAAGAAATCCATGAATTTTACTTTCACGCGCATTGTGTGGTCTTCTTTTGCTTGCATGTGCGGTAGATTTGCGTTTGTCGTCGCGCTTGGTGGCTGATGCCCCGTCTTATCACCACGAGCGACTTTTGGCACGCAGATACGTGATTGATTCTGTCAGATCTATATGCTTAGTATGGAAATTGAGTCATGCGCGTCATGTCAATCTTTAAAAGGATATAGCCAGTTTTTTGACGAATTTGGTGTTTTGGATGTTGATGTTTTGCAGTCAACGAGCCTTTTTATAGTCAACAATCTATTCAAGGGTTTTGGAGAATTCTCCTAGACAGACAGCCGTTTGAGGGGATCGAAGACCAGTGAGCACTCTGCCTTGAGATCCCCCTTTTCGCTCGCCCCGGCGGCGTCCCCGGCGGGTCCGTCTAGGGTTAAGTTGGTCAGCCAAGCCCTGGTGATTGCTTACATTTCTCTGCGTTCGGGGAAGGGAAAAGGATCTCGGTAGACTTCCACTCACTTCTTGGAGATGGAGAGCGACCTTATTCATCCAACAAGGGAGACGAAGTGATCCAAACCCAACCTTGTGTTCTCTTTTTTTTATTCTCCTTTGTGGTACACTCTTGTGTATTATATAAATAAATAAATAAATAATCTTTGAAGATTGCTCTTGATGTTCAAAGTGGAGCATTGTTTTTTGAGCACTCTTGCCATTACAAACAGTTCTGCACGCGAGCTGCTACGCCTCGTTCATAACCGAATTTGGAGATGGCGCAGTCACTGAGAACGGAGGTTTTATTAGGCTGTAAAAAGTTCCCGGGCACTTTTGGAAATTTCATTTTCAATCGCATTTTTTCGGCGCTCGGTCGACTTTGCCACCAAGTTTTTTATACTGTTCAGTAGAGGGAAGCCTGAAGTTTTCAACAAGCCTTCTGAGTCTTATCGATGCCAAGACGAGTTTGATCTGCATGTCAAGAAGAGAAATCTTTCCAACCACAAAATTTTCACAATTTTTCTTCCTACGGCCATTTTTTGCGCAATTCAAAGTTTCGTCCAAATCATGGGTGATTTGATTGAGAAGCCCCGTTAACTTCTGACCCACCGGTGTAATCGAATTTTGCGATTTGCGCTCAGAAATTACAAGCTGTCAAACTTACCTCTGACTGCAACTCTTTTCGCAGCTGGTGTCGCTTCTGCTGGGATCTCCACGCCTGGATGATGGGTAGCATGGATGAGCAACATTGGTGGGGTAATGCCTTGCACATCCAAAAGACCCAAAAGATGTGCAAGGCATTACCCCACCAATGTTGCCAGTAATCAAAGATTTGGTCCTTTTTCTGCGGAACTAGAAGACTTCAAAGTCACTTAGTCGAAAAATGGCGCATTTTTGGGGGAGAAAAATGGACTTTCAAACTTTCTGGTAAAAATTTTTTTGCAGCTAGTCTTTTAAAAACACGAATGGTCCCCATAACAGCCCCAGCAGACCTCCACATGACTGCAGCATCTGGGCTTTCCAGCTCTCATCTTGCCTGAGATAATGCTGCACAAATAGAGCACTTTTCGCGTCGACCTTTTTTCCTTTCTGCGCATGCTGGTGGACCGCAGCGATGTACTGAGAAGAAAGCAAGAAAATATATGTTGTGGACAAAATTGTCTTTGCGATGAATTTGTAGCTCCAAAAAAGAATCAATCTACTTGAAGTTACAACGATTTGAAAAAAAATTTCCGCAAGTGCCCGGGAACTTTCTTTACAACTTAATAATTTCAACCTTACGCTTATCGCAAACTTGTTACTATTATTTTATGTTAGGGACAGTTTCTTGACCAACAAACAATTTCCAAATGCAGTTCCATCCAATTGTTCATAGTCATTCACAGGAGAAGGCTGTTCCTGTCTACTAACGGAATGGTATTCGTTCAAGTATGTGATGTAATGAAGATTATGGCTTTTTTTTGAAGCCCTTTAGTACAACTGACTTTAATCGTCGAGCAATTTTGGCATACCGCCGGTAATTAGTGAATGCCGCAAATTTTAAGGCTTGTATGCACGTACATCCCCGCTAAGAAGAGGAGAAGATCTGAGATGTCTTGTCTTGGTCATGAAGGTTCTCATACCCTTATCCTGCGCATAATGGATGCCAGGCTACTGAAATATAGAATTGGTTTTTTGTCGTTTTGTGGGATCCCTTGGAGCTCCACAGAGAATTCCCAGGGGATCTCTCATTTTCAAGTCATTTGTTATACTAAGAAGTCAGTAAAAATGCTCTAAAATTGTACTGAGGATATACTACAGCAGTGCTAAACATGTTTATGGTAGAAATGAGTAAAATCTCAGAATATCAAAATCTTCGATGAACCTGAATCTGAATCTGCTCGCGAGTTAGGGATTATCGAAAAATTCACAATCTTTAAATTTCATTTCTCCTGTCGAAAACATGCTTAGCAGTGCCGTAGTAATCCTCGGTACAATTTTGCAACGTTTTCATTGACTTCTCAGGAAGATGAATCACTTTGAAATGTGAGGTGTTCCCCCTGGGATCACACAAAATGGCAAAAAGCCAGTCTTGTATGTATGTTATCACTTGTACATGCGCATAATGGATGCCAGATTACCCTGGCATCCATTAAAGGCAGTGTCCATGCAGATTTGGAGCTCCTCAGTTCCAACATTTTATTGAAGCGGACTCCTCATACAGACCGTAGTCCAGTTTCGAGTGCAAAATATTGCTTGTGAAGCGAGTAAACCGCTTCAGAAGTCTGAACAGAGACGCCCCCTTGTCCGTACCGAAGCAAGTAATCGTGCCGGGACGCGTGGTTGCAGCCAATGACAGCGTCGCAACGGCGGCGTCCCAGTCGGATTCCCTGCTTCGGTACAAATAAAGGGGCGTATCTGTTCAGACTTGTGAAGTGGTTTACTCGCTTCACAAGCAATATTTTGCACTCGAAACCGGGCTATGGTCTGCATGAGGAGCCCGCTTCAGTAAACTGTTGGAACTGAGCAGCTCCAAATCTGCGTGCGTGGACACTGCCTTTAAGCGCAGGTACAATTGTATGAAAACCTCCATAAGGAAGATAAAGAAGAAGAAAGACACGTAGAGTAGCGAAATATAACGCATCCTCCCTCAGATCCCTCCCCTCCACAGCCGGGATGTACGTGCATACGGGCTTAATTGATTACACAGCTGTAGGCTGTGTCTATTTCGAAGTATCAAAACGAAGCGCAGTCATAAAACATTACGCAGTCGAGAATGTCATACACAGTGTCAAGAAAGAGCCCTTTGGAACTTCGAAGCGATTGAAATCGGTATTATGCCTTCTCCCTAAAAATATGTTAATCTGGTTATGTTATCGTATGTTATTGCACATTGTATGTGGTCACAAGGGCCTAGTACGGTAAAACGTAACGAGCGGGTTACTGCAGTGTAATACCTTTGTAAGCCTAACGATGCAGTCCTCAAGACAGCACATGTTTGTCAACGCTAGAGATAACGACCTTATAAATTGTAAATGGAACGACGACTAATTTGTTGTAGATACTGCTTCAAAATTTGTTTGACATACTCGCTATTCTCCTTACTGTAATAGGACTCGTCACTTGCAAGAAGAAGCCTCAATTTGTGAGTCACCTTTATAGAATTCATGCAAATTGACTAGTGATATTGCAGGATGAGCAATTTGGGCTTTATGTAAGTCTTTGACGTCTCATCAAACGGTTTTACAGCCTGAAATGAAATTACAATACCATAACAATTCCCACAGTTCCGGAACAGTTCCAGCACAGTGCAAGAACTGTGCGGGAACAGTTCCGGCCCAGGGGAATTAGTATGAAACCAACCTTACTGCTCAAATCTACATAAGATGAATCTAACTACGATAACTCAAGGCAGACAGAGACAGATTCGCTTATGACCACTTTTAAAGACATTCGACTTCTGCTCTCGCCTTAGCCGTGACAGCAATGAAACACTCAGCGCGAATTCTATTCAAGGCGCGGTTCCTTGTTTATACATACAGTGTGTCCTTTTGTGTCCTTTTTGAAAACAGCTGATTCAAGCCGCGAAAAGCAGCTTAGATTTCTTTGGTCTAATCCTGTTTTCCGACTCTTAACAAAGGGAAAAGATCTGTATACAATTTCTGATGCGGATAGATGGGGATGTTAGTTGAGGAGATGCGTTTTATGGCTTTTAGGTTTCAGTCCAAATTACGTAGTCAATAATCATGCTAGGATTTTGCGCCCTTTTGCAAAATAGTTTACCCTATCGGTTAAATTCGCACCAAGAAATGATAAGAACAGGAATTTGCTAAAGTTCCGGGACTACCTTAGCACTTGACCGAATGTTAAATCAGTGGCAGCAGATCCTACTTCATTTAGAGTCTATTTGCCCATAATTTACAGTTACCGCCACTACTAGTTACCTGGCAAGTGTGGACCAAAATATGCTTTATAGCTCGAATAATTTGTGCACACTTCTTTTATGAATATCAAAGTTGGAGAGACTTTTGCATCAAAATCTTATCAAGACTGCCGATAAACATGCTCTAGTGCTTCTCTCACTCAAACAGAGGCGCAGGTTTCTTGTAAAACTAAAAACATTGGGAGGATATCTTAGTTAGGACATCCCTTCAAATCTCGTGGAAAAGTCCATGTAACGATACGTCCTATAGAAGCTTAAATGTTCAAAAACAGAACATGTGGTTTTTACAAAACCACAGGAAAATAAGGCTTGCCGTGGTAATCGAATTTTGATTGTTTCTTGAAATACTTTTTGAGAAGTCAACGATGCATGAGCCCTTTATAAAAGTGACTGGAGCGCTCAAGCGATGCTGTGAAGTGAGAGGCGGAGTTTGGTCAGAAATTTACGTAAAAAAAATTCTGGACATGTTGTCGTAAAAGTGAAACTCTACTGCAACTATACTACGCAGTTTCCTGAAAACTAAGTAGTTTCGGTAGAAAGTTCAGCTGTAACATATTAATCTAACAATAAGAATGAGCGATTATCACAAAACTTCGCGTTTCACAGCTTTATAGTCAAAAGCAGATTAGCACTATGGTTTCCTCAAGTCGGGAGGAGCTCTCACCCGTGTACGGAAATACTCAGAACTATGCAGATGACGGTGATTGTATATATAAATAGCTGGCATGGGGGAACGGCCCTTTTGAACCGCTCGCTATCACAGCGCGCCTCTGATTGGTCAACATGTCCACTGCGATGACGAGTTAATACTCGTTCATTTTTGCACATTTATCGTGTCCAACATGATGATAGGGTTTGGCACAGGTATATTACATACTTTAAACTAAGAATTTTCCCGTTGACTGTAAATGCGACTTGTTAGCTTCGCCAGCGGCGCCGCACGCGGCGAGACGAGCGTCGCGCGCGAAGGGTTCAAAAGGGCCTACACCCGCTGGCATGCCCATTCGCCTGCACAGTCTAAAGGATATTCGTTGACGACTGCCCCGACTCGTGTAATTACACCATCGCGCGTGTGCGTTTATAGAGCCTTTCCAGCTCTACAGTACGCTGCAGCGCGCGGGGAACTTGCAGCTCGCAGCATTCCTGTCCTATAATCTTCTTTGCTATTTATGCCCTTTTAATCACTTTTTCTCTGATTGTCATTTCAGACGGACTTGAACATCGAATATCCTACAAATATCCTGTATGTGTGTACCAGGCAACGCTGTGATTGAGCTACTGTTTGCTCTCCCCGAAAAGCTTAGAATGGAAGCTTCGTTTTCTGGTTTTTCTCATTTTTCTGGAGTGCAGGGTTCCAAAGGTGGCGCTATCTAAGCATGACCTACATGGACCATCGGCCACAGGTTGCCAACTTTGCGGTTTGTGGTGTTGACGAACTCGCGTGCCGTTAGCGTTTGCTGACACCTCCAGATTTCATGAGGAAATTGCATTTGTTGTGATTACGTGTGTTTTTTTTGCCAATTCCTTGCCACTGGCATCCTGCCCTTACCGTCAACAATCGCAAACCTGGCAATAGTTCTCGGCAACCTATGGCCATCTTTTGGTGAGAAGTTTGTCGAATTTCATTCTGGTCAGGTGAATGCAACCCGACAATTTCCATCTAACGTAACTTGATCTAAGAATATTCCACAAAGTCGGGCTCGCATCCACTTGACCGGGCTCGCATTCTTTTGACCAGACTTAAAAGATTCAACAAACAGCACAACAACATAGAACGAAACCGGTGAGTTAGCACTGGCCATATTAAGAGGACGTATCCTATGAGAAAATGATAAGAATAGCAAAAAAGAATGTAGAAAAATTTCGTTGATCAAATGTTCGAGCTTGCGAGGGCAATCCGAGCGGCTTTGCGTGTGTGGCGGAGACGCCCATGGATAGCTGCCACGGACACATATTCTAGAACTTGTAGGATATACTCAACGGTCGAACAAGCCTGAAATAATAGAGGAATAGGTGCCTGAAACGAATTTCACGAAGAAAAAGAAATGAGAAACGCTTAAATAACGAAGAAGATTATAGGACAGGAATGCTGCGAGCTGCAAGTTCCCCGCGCGCTGCAGCGTACAGTAGAGCTGGAAAGGATCCAAAGACGCACACGCCCAATGGTGTGATTACACTAGTCGGGGCAGTCGTCGACGAGCATCCTTTATGGGTTTAACCAGCTCAATTAAAAGGAAAATTAGTGCGTAACTCTAAATGTTCAACTTATCTGCTTTTTGTTTTCTTCTCTTTCGCTTGTAACGTAGGGCAGGTCTTTCCTGACCGCATCGCCGTAAATTACCGAATCTCCCTCATCGTGTGGAATTAAAATGAGCTCTACCGCTTTTGTTTACGAAATTGGTTTGATTGTTCATGATAAGAGTCTATTTTTCTTTAAAATCGATAGATCAATGAAGGAGTGGGAATCTCGCCGCAAGTAGTTTACGGAGCTGACCAGTGTCGAAACTATATGTGCATGGGGCCGATCGGACCATGCACAAAAATTTCTATAAAGAGCACACTAACTAACAATTTACCAACAGTTAGCTTTATATATGTACTAGCTGGCTTACCCGGCTCCTCCCGGCCCTGTCAAAAACGATAAAGGTTCCATTTCTATCCTTGTACACTTTTACCTGTGCACACTTCTACATGCAATCCCCTATTCCCGCTGTGTGAGTAATCAGTATCTCACCTACCTTCCTCTCCAACCCCCCCCCCCCCAGCCCCGCAGCGCAAATGCAAAAAAACAACAATAAAATCGATAAAAGTATGGATGATTCTAAAAACTGATGGCGTTATTCGGCTGTCCGGGCCCTAAAATGTTTTTGAGGTGGACCTTGCTCAAACTCGGTATATGGGTATTCAAGCCCTGATGACGAATATCGTAGTCATTTCGCGTGGCAGCAGGTAAAAATCATGAACCTACCTGAAACCTTGGCAGAAAATTACCTAAAGTGCTGTTTCAAGAATATCGTCCCAATCCCCACGATAAAGGCAATTCGTGTAGTATAAAAGTTTCCCACGACCGTAATGCTTCCCCTCATAGGACCACTGCCGCGCGCGAGACACCCTTCGGCGGCTTTTGCCTAAGCAAAAAACGGGGGAGGGAGATTTGCCGCGTGCGTTAAGCGTTGGGACAGGTTATTAATTTCCTCATAGGACCACTGCCGCGCGCGAGACACCCTTCGGCGGCTTTTGCCTAAGCAAAAACAGGGGGAGAGAGATTTGCCGCGTGCGTTACACGTTGGGACAGGTTACCAGGATGGCGCTGGAGACCGCTATGCAAAACGACCGTGCCCCCATCTCTTGAATATCTGGGATCTAAATCGGCCCGAAAGCGAAAAAATGTCCATTCAAACCCTGCAACTCACCGTAACTTCACTACTGCATTATGACAGCGAGCAAGCATCATATTCATAAGCGATATACTTGTGAACCGTTACAGGTAAGGTTTTGAGCAAATCTGGAACTTCGACCCATTGACACCACCGTAACCCAAGAAAATGCACTATCCTGCGAAATCAGCATGATATTCATGTTCAGCGCGCTAAGTGACCACCCTATACGAAGTTTAAAGTAAATCTATGTTTTCGACCCCATGCCATATAACCACCAAATCTCTATGAAAAGATCCCAATATGCAGAGAGAGGTGATATTCGTAATTAGCATGTCGAATAAGCCGTACAGACCGAACTCCAGCCGAATTCACGATTTTGACTTCCTACCGTACACCTATCGTAACCACACGTGAGGACGTTCTGTGGAGAAAGTGTGATATCTGTAATCAGCATGTAGATAACCCTTATACACGAAGTTTGAGCAAGCTCCACAAAAAAATTTTGGGGCCCGGATAGCCGATAGTGCCAAACTAATATCGAAACTCGTAATTAGCATGCTCGATTACCCCCCTGTGCCAAACCTCAGCCCCATAGCTCAAACTTCGCAAAAAAATCGATAAAATCGATAAAAGTAATCGATATTACTGAAAACCAATATTGTATTCGGAATCCCCATGCTCGATTACCCCCCTATGCCAACTCCCAGCCCTAAAGATGAACTCTGCAAAAAAAAAAACCGATAAAAAGCGATAAAATCGATATCGATCGATGACGAAAAGTAGCCTATGACACCCGCCGGGGCCCGAAGTGTATGTGTGCCAAGTTTGGTCCGGATCGGTTCAAAAATAAAAATTTCTATTCGGAACATACGTAAATACATACAGACAGACATACATACAGACAAACAGACATTCAGCTTTATATATGAGATAGATGAAACTAACTCAGACAAATCACCGGAACTTCCGCAGGACAAGACAAATTTGCAGAAGTTCCGCAGGATTTTGTTCATTATTGCAAAAATGAAAACGTTGAAAATCGGAACTTCCGCGGATTTTCGTGTCAAACTGGTTGAAGACCGGAACTTCCGAAGAATGCCAGAGGTTGCGCAGTACTTTGGCCTGCCAGAACTTCCGCAGGACTTTGAATATGTTGTCTCTTGATGTTGTCTCGCCAACAACCAGAGTGCAGCATTGAACATGCTAGCCGTAGCGTAGAGGATAGTAGGTGGGTCTCACAGTCAATAGAGTGGGGTTCAGATCTCGCTTGGGGTTGTCTTTTGCTGTTGTGGTTGGCATTCTTCGGAACTTCCGCAGCGCGTTTACGGAACTTCCGCAGGTGACCCGGCGGAACTTCCGCAAACGCTCTGCGAAATTCCGATGATTTGTCTGAGAAGGCAACAAAGCAGGCAGTGACTTTGAAAGGACAAGCCCAAGTCTCTAATGTGTTTCTCTTGTCAGTGTCTGCTCAAAGGCAGAGTCGTACCAGATTGGGAGGTACCTGACTCTGGTAGTAATGTAATAGTAGACCTCCTAATTAAGCGACGACAGCAGTTTGCAGCGCGAAAGGGTTTACGAAGTCTACAAATCGCCCTCCAAGTAGTCCGGATCTTACAATAGGCTCGGACGAGTACGAGATGCATGCAAGCTGGAGAGAGTCGTTGTGGGACCCTGCGCTCATGACTGTGTGCGCTATGCGTGCTCTAGCCTTGCAGTGCGTCGCAGTGTGGGCAGCGTCCGGGCCTATCGTAAGATCCGGGCCACTTTCGGAGCAAATCAGGCTTGGTAGACCCCTTTTTTCGCTCCAAATTTCAGTCATCGCTTCAGTATGGGTACTTTGATATCGTCACAAAAAACCCGACACCCATCTTTTTGCCAGGACGCTGCCCTAAACTACAGCTTCTGCTATCTTACATCTGTTGTTCACGCTGCTGGTTCTGTCACTTAGCTAAGCCGTTGTTTAACACATTGACGACAGCTTGACACACATGGTGTGTCAAGCAGTGACTACCGCGTGGGACCGCTTGACACACCATGTGTGTCAAGGTTTGAATTCTGTCAAGATGACTACTATCTTGGGATAAACTCATTCTATGAACTCTCTTTTGCACTGAATCTAGGGATGATCTCTACCTTTTTGTCAGCCTTTCAGATCTACTATAAGTGTACTGTAGATGGCATTATGCATAATTATAGTTGAGAACTGTGGGCTGGTCCGTAAAAGGCCTTGGTCCCAGACGGCAGACAACTAAATACCTGCATGGTCGTCCATGTGTTAAGAAACTAGCTGGTTTTCCGGTCTAGCCCAGGTCACGACTTCAGCTAATCCTTGCTCCAGGCCTGCTATCGTTTACACGAAATCATGAAAATGTTGTTGTTAGCCAATGTTAGAACTCATTCTTATGCCAAAAATATATAAATCAATAGAATGGCCCAGCAAATCGCCGGAAAAAGTAGCGCTAATCACCTCCGGGGTCGAACACATCAAAGTTCTAGCTTAATCGGTTCATTGGCAGGCATATCTATAACGAACGAACAACCAAACGAACACACTTGCAAAGTTTGAGTTTTATATATTAGGTCGTTCCAAAAGTATTTTTGTTTTTTTAAACAAGCGCCACAGTCGACAGAACAAAGATTCGCTCGAATGCTTGACAGCTTTCAATGCAGTATTTCATGCTCTTTCAAATGGTCATCTTTATTTAGCAGTTGAGGCAACAAGCTCTCAGAAATTGCTATAAACTGCGACCCATGCTTTTTACCAAGGTCAGGTTCAGCCATTTTTCTAAATTCTTGTACTGATTCCCCAGAGAAGTCCAAGTAACTTTCGATAGAGCAAACAAAGTAGGATACAAAACAGTTTTTGCTCCTTCCATAGCTTATTTTGAAAATTTTTTGAACTCTTTTCGATGCCATCAAATTTCATATTTGGCCAACTTAAACCTCATAGAACAGCAGCCGGCGAGCTACCGGGTGTTATTCGATGCAGCACTTTCTCCTCTTTTAACGACATGTTTTTTGTTCCTGACTCGAGAAGTCCTGAAGGATAAAATCGACAAAATTCATGTTTTTTAAGGGACCCGAGGCTGTACTTAACAAATTTAAAATTAGATATTTCAAGCCCCAGAACGCTCACTTGTTTCGTGAAATTAATGCTGAATCCTAAACCACTTTGAAAGTATCAAAAATCGAGAATTTAGTGGAGTTTGGCGAGTCTGCGTCTGGTACGGGACTCTTAAAATTCGATGGTGTTGTTCAAAATTCTGTCGGAAAGTCATAGAGCCCTGGGAAGAAGATTGAAATTCTTTTGTATGCTACTTTCTTTGCTCTATCGACAAATTACTTGGACTTCTTCGGGGGATCAGTACAAAATTTAGAAAGATAGTGGAACTTGACCTTGGTAAAAAGCATGGGTCGCAGTTTATCGCAAAGTTTTTTTTTCAGTTTTTTTCCTATAGCTCATTGTTTCAACTGCTAATTAAGATGACCGTTTGAAGGAGCATGAAAAACTGCACTGAATGCCACCAAGCATTCAAACAAATCATTGTACTGCTGACTGTGGCGCTTGTTCAAAAAAACGCGAAAATACTTTTGTAACGAACTGATATATACAGATTTTTGGACTCAAAGGCAGTGTCCGGGCAAGAGGGGGTTTTGAGATTTCAGTGCCATGCGAGAGTGCCCCCCCCCCTTCAGACACAACATCGCACAAGTGCGACGTCTAACGCTCCTAAAGCAAGAAAAATGACCGGAAAGTGGGAAAACTTACGCCTTGGGGCGGGGTCCTTTGAGCTGTCCGAATTCCTGCTATGCGGCAAAGTACGCATACCGCCGCAGTTAAAAGTAGGGTCCCGTAGCGACTCTGCGTCTCTGTCCCCGGGGGACCGCCAAATTTCGAATTGTGCAGCTTTGGAAAAAGTATGTTCTCGCCGTTTTCGCGCCTTCTAAAGTGTATTTTCGGATTCAGCGTTGCGGATAACCCCCAGTAAGTGAATTTTCTAGAAATCGAGTTTTTGCCCGGACACTGCCTTTAATCACAGGGCTCATCACTGCTGTACCTAGGCGAGCCAAGGTGATTATCACTCCCGCAAAAAACACTCACTCACTCGTCCCAATCGTCAGATAGGGGGGGGGTACAGAAGTTTGCTAATGGAGGAGCATGTTATTAGCCATACCCCCAATTTTTTTTTCAATTTTGAAACCCCTCATGTGCCACGCAGCCACACGCAGGTCAGGGGATTACCACCACTCGTCTTTTGCTGAAGCACCAACTTCTTCTTATGATAAGAATTGCTGCCTCTCTACACTCCCAACAATGTGTATGCTGCAGGTAATTACTGTATCACATTTTATGCTTGCAGGAAGGCGGCACTGACGAAGACGAAAGGGAAAGCGTAAGTCTGTGCTTCTGATACATCTTGATAAATTGTAGTTATCTCTCGCTGCTTTAGCGCTTAATTCTTTACTCAGGCACGACGGCGGCGGCTGAGCATGAGAAGTAAAGGAAGGATGCCGCGCAGGGCGCGAACAAGACGATTGGGAGTGCAGGAGTCAGAGGAAGGCAAGGAAGAGGTGGAAAATAAAATCAACGAAGATGATATTTATTGATCGTAGTTTTTCCAGCCGGAAAAGGGAGTGTTTAAGATACGACCACCAGCCGAAACAAAAATGAAAGCTACTTTTGATCCCAATTATCAGACATTAGCTGGGCTTAATAACGAAGATATATTCAAACCCAAAGTGAGCTACTGGAGATTATCAAAATTGATTTGATATTGCCTTTGATACATAAAAATATGAGGTACTACTTAAGGATTTCAAAATTCGTCCTCCAGCTGAAACTAAAATGAAGGCCACATTCGACCCAAATTATCAAACATTGGCTGGGTTGAATAACGAAGATATTTTTAAACCAAAAGTTTGTTTTGATCTTGATACGTGTAAATGATTCTCTTCGAAAGTGGCTTCTTAGGGAGGAGGAGGTGCTTTTGGTGGTGATAACCTTCAAATAAGAGCACCAAAAGAAGGAGGCAAGGCTGCAACTTGGGATCCAAACTATCAAACGCTTGCTGGGCTCAACAACGACGAAGTCTTCAAACCAAAGGTTGCCATTAGTTCAGTCATATGCTCATAGAGATCATCATCTCTTCTGCAGGATGGAGGTGCAAAAGGGCCAACTGGAGGTGGTAATCTAAAAATTAGAGCACCACAAGCTGGAGGAAAAGCTGCCACATGGGATCCAAATTATCAAACGTTAGCAGGATTGAATAACGAAGATATCTTCAAGCCAAAGGTTGCTTTATTTTATTCACTCCGTCACATGATTTCCTTCCCTAAGCTCTGCAAAACTCGGACCACTCTTTACCTCACCTTCTACTTCTCTCACTTTATTTCGCTTTCAAGCCTTTTAAGCAACGCATGAAATCATATTAGGATACGGGAAAAGGAGGAGCAGGAATGGGTGGGGGCGAAGATTTCAAGATCAGGGCCCCTAAGGCTGGAGGCAAAGCTGCAACATGGGATCCTAATTATCAAACACTCGCTGGTCTCAACAATGATGAAGTTTTTAAACCAAAGGTAAGTTTTCATAAAGTAAAAAATGTCCGTCAACTTTGCATATTCAGGACACAGACAAATTCAAAAAAGGTGGTGGCAGTCCAGAGATAAAGGCGCCTAAAGTGGGAGGAAAGGCAGCAACATGGGATCCCAACTATCAAACTTTGGCTGGCTTAAAGAATGAAGACATTTTCAAACCTAAGGTAATAAATGTACGGTTGAGGAAAAGGAAGGAAGAGGAAGCCATAAGGCAAGGCTTAAATTTCAAGGTTACCAAGCCCCAAGTTCCAAGTTCATCTAAGAACCCATCACCGATACTTTATTTGCTCTTAACGGCCGGGTCGCTGTAGGTCAAACGCACGGGAGCCCTGCAACGCGGCTGCCGAGTACAGGCGCTATGATGAGTCATGTGCGCGAATGCCAATGTTAGCCCGCAAGAGACATGCACGCGGACTTTCAGTCCGGGCGACTGCGTGCAGTCAATCAGCCCAACATTAGAGTATTTTCATTGGCAAAGAAAAACGATTTCGAAAAAAAAAAGATTGGCTGCTGGGACAACCGGCAATCGTACATGAAGCTCAAAAAGTCAGTTTCTATAATAACACGCTTCTATTGAATATGTTCATGGAAGTGGGTAGTAGACATAAATGAGATGAATACACAGCTGAAACAAAGATTTTTGGAGCTATGGTGTACAGGTTTTATTCAAACTGCGCTCCCCTCCTCCGAGAAGATGTTCATGCATGCGGTCTGCAAAATCCCTCATCTCAAACTTTTTTGCATCAGCGTCACGCACTATACCCCGAAAAAAGTGTACTGTTCATAAAACAACCGTTTCTGTTGCCAAGAATGCAGCTTTAGTTTTGGGCTTGAGATTTGAAGTGTCGCCTTTTATACACATAAAACACCAAATTTTACCAAATGGAAAATGACGAACCAAATGTATGTTTTTTTGTATCGACGGGGATGCAATGGTAAATGTAACGTATGCTATACTTCCACCATGAACTTCAACTTCGAATGGCAATGTTTAGGGTGGCGGCGGTGGTTTGGGTGGCGCTAAACAAGCGCAGAAACCAGCTCAGCATAAAGTAGTGGCAACAAATGATCCCAATTATCAAGTAAGATTAGCTTTTGCTAACGGAATTTATGTGTGTAGAACATGCATTTACAGACGTTGGCAGGAATCAACGCTGATGTCTTTGGCGAAGATAAAAAGAAAAAACAGAAGCAAGCAGCTTTTGATAGATGGGCAACATATTAAGATATTGTCAATTATTAGCACTAATCGATTTCTTTCACATAAAATAAATGAAGTTGTTCCTTTCCAAAACATAATGTCAATCGCGCATTTTGTCATGCAGCGGCCGTTTCACATAAAAGTACAGTCTGCCCCAATCCCAAGCAGGCCAAAATTGGCATGGCGGGAGACCGCGTCGCTAGGGTTTCACGGTTACGCCCACGGCCTGCTTCTCTGCCCTCTCTTCAATCCTTTTGCTCTCTCCGACAGCGCGCACATGCAGCGCAAACCGCTAGCGCTGCGAGCGCGCAAATTTACGCCGACGGTTCGGCCTGATCCCGACTGAAGCAGACTGTAGATTAAAATTCTCATACTGCGCCAGAAAAGTCACGAAAATGTGCTCAATTGATAGAGCATTTGAGAAGAACTTTTACTTTCTTGCTATCCTCATGAGAATACAACGAAATGTTAGCTCAACACAGTCTGACCATTGTTATGTTTACCTAGAAGAATGCCGTAATTCTCTCTATTGTCAATAAATTGATTTAACTGGCACGGCTGTGTTTGCCAGCCTGCTGTCAGTAAATGGAACGTAGAAAAAATTCTTAGATTCTGCTTAGGAGTCATGGTGCAAAAAACTCTGCTCTCAAAGCCAGTCGCAAATGAAGATGCAAATAAAATGCACGTGCATAGAAAGAGGAAACCAAAATGTCTCCATATGCACAACTAACTTAGTCAATGGCATATTTTCTTGGGAATCAGAACAAAAATTTTAGTAATTTCAATAATGCATATTTCCTGTACGTCAAAAGAGATTATCATAAGCATTATTTTATAAATGTGTTCAGAATCTCTGATCGAGGCCCTTATGCACATACCTCCCCGGTTGGGGCAAAAGGGGATATGAGAAGGGACGCTGAGTATAATGCCAGAACATTGCCATACAAAATGAGATTTTTACTGTTTCGTGTGATCTCCGGGGATCCCTAGGGGGTCATCTCCTGTTTTCAAAGTCGTCTATCTTTCCAGGAAATCGATGAAAATGTCGTAAAGTTGTACTGAAAACTTACGATGGCACTGCTACGGAAGTTTTCGGCAAATGGATTGTGAAGGTTGCAATTTCTTCGATGAACCTCAGCTCGCGAACAGTTCATCGAAGATTTCAATGTTCCTGAGATTTTACTTCTACTATGAACATGTTTAGCAGAGCCGTAGTATATCCTCGGTACAATTTAGCAATTTTATCGAGTTCGGGAAGATAGATATCTTCGACAATGTAAGCTGATCTCCCTAAGGGACCACACAAAGCACTGAGACTCATTTTATATGGCAATATTTTGTCGAGCCATTAAACTCAGATATGAAGGTATGTCAACCTTCATAAAATATATAGAAAAAGAATAATACAGATAAGATAAAAAAGAATGATACAGATACTTAGAGAAGTAAGATATGATGCCTTAAGTAAAAATATAACACATACAAGTCATTTTTTATTGAGATACCATCTCGTCCCCGCGGGGATGTACGTGCATACGGGCTCATTAGGGCCTGCACGTCATGAGATGCGTCGCGCAAGCTGCAGATTTGCGGCACACCCGCGCTCAAGTTTTTGGCCCACAAAAATCTCCTCTGCTGAAGTGGCACACGGAGAACTAGGCAAAAGGCGTGGGAGCGAATACACGACTCTACGCCATAACTTAGCAAAAGAGAGCTGCATTCGATACAGTTGACGACGCGTTGCGGAATCACTTTGCGAAAAATTTGCGCTGGTCGTACTTCCTGACCGTGCCGGCCAATAGGTAGTTACAGTCGAGTGGATTTTCCGCTTAGTATGGTGTGCCTAAACTGAAGGTGAAATGCGATAAAATTTGCGCGTAAAAGTAGCCACGCCAGTAATGCCAGCCTTTTGCGTGCGCAATTGGTTGGCGTCATGGACGCAGCTATTTGTTCGCTCGCAAATTTTTGCCGCATTTCACCTTCAGTGCAAGCACATTATATTAAGCGGAAAATCTACTCGACTGTACTTCCAAAGCCCGATTGTACCATTTTGTTGCAACATCATTGTTTTGACCTTGTTTTCACATTTTGAAGAAATCTTGCAGAAGGTTTTCAAAGCTTCAATTCCCTAGCTTTAAAGACGGCTGCGAATTGACTCTGAGGGAAAAAGCCTTGAGAGCTATCTGAGGCAAGACTTATGAAGTGCAGCTAATGAGGAAAGAATAGTTTTGTGTGCAATAGAGCAGTGAGGAATGTCAAAGCACTCTATAAACCAGATACTTTCAGTCTGATATACATTATACTTGGGTAATTCGATAATTTTTCATCGAATAAATGAATATCGAATAAATTCGAAAATAAAAAATCTCGAATAAACGAATATCGAATAAATGCGGAAAAGCAAAAATATCGAATGAATGAATTTCGAATAAATTCGGAAAATCAAAAATATCGAATGAATGAATTTCGAATAAATTCGGAAAATCAAATATCGAATGAATGAATTTCGAATATATTCGAACAGTGGAAGTTGAATTTCGAATAAATATTCGAATGATTTATCGAATAACTAAAGCAATCACATTTCAAACTTGCCGACATATCTGGCTAAACGATCCAATCATAATCAGCCCCCTAGTATCATATCAACTCCTAGCTCAAAATTTTCCAAAAATTGCTGAAATCAGTAAAATAGATTTCGGTTTTAATCAGCACCCTCACTTACTCCTTTGTACCAACTCCCAACCTTGTAGCTCAAGATTTTCCAAAAATCGATAAAATCGTTAAAGTAAATTTTTATATAGTTTGTGGTTTCCTCCGCGAAGCGAGCACGAATGCCCCCCTATAACTCCGTGCATACTGCAGGCATTAGTGGCGACGTGGTATGGCAATACTCAATTTGTCCAAAACCTATTCTGAAAGTACAGAATGCAGGGCATTTATCTTTTTAGTATGTTGTACACACTAAACATTTGTGGTAAGCTGCCATTACATCTCAAATCTCGTAACTGGCAAATCGCGTAAGGCGATCTAAACCGTCTAATCCTGCTACAACTTTACTCAATATACACCAATTCGCGAAAAACTCCAAGGTAACGAATGCAGTTTTGCAATAATTTATGCGAGCAAGAGTGCTCACTAGTGTGGGCTTTGTGTACAGCAAGCATGAGCAATGCAAAGAAAGAAGAACAGCCATTTTATTCAGTATGAACTCAGAACATGAGCTTGAATTTGATATCTTCTTTGCTGATTTGGTGCCAATAGCAGTGCTAACAATCTCATTGATCGAAAAAACATCAGGTAAAATCCACATATGATTTTTTTTACTGTCGCAAGAAGTCGGAAGAATGCGACTCTCCATACAGTTCAAAGGTATACCGGTTGCAAAAGATGCATTACCGAGTTTTGCGAAAAAAGCGCGGACGAAGTGAACTTGATACTCAGCAGTTGGCTCTGCAACAAAGTCGAATAGTCTGAATACGGAGTACATTCGAATACGAATTCGAATAAACATTCGAATATAACTTTCGAATAAAATCTATTCGAAACCCCGTTTTCTGATTATTCGAATTTTCGAATAATATTCGAAACCTCGTTTTTTGATTATTCGAGTTTCGAATATTTTTTGAAAATGGAAGAACTTCGAATATCGTATTTCGAATACGAATATATTCGAATGTTTTATTCGAATGATCGAATTTCTATTCGATTCGGACCCAAGTATAATATACATGTGTACTTGCCGATACTTTCTTTTCTATCAAGAATTCGATTTGCACATCGAGGTTATTGCTCAAAATTGCTCGTATCTTCGGAGTCACTCAACATGCAAGTGAAACTTATTTGGAATCACAGTTCATCCAGGATCGCAATCTTTCTAGGGTAGATCTGCTTTGACAACTTTTTTCTTGAATCACACCTTCTCAAAGCCAATCAAAAATAATTTATGAATGCAAAAAATTTGTGTAATATGTAGTCAAATGTTTGGTGTTTGAACTTTTGATCATTTGTTTATAACTCTTTCAATTAGCTGCTTTTGCCTTGTGCGTACCACCATCGCCGATTTTCGGATTCTCCTAAACAAGTTTTTGATTTTTGTCTTCCAATAAACGCTTGAAAACAATTGTGTAACTGACTTACCTTATATAGCTTATAGCGTGCGCTGTTACGCTGATCAACATTGCAAAGATGTTTGCAAGGATTACGGTGCTTCTTACAAAAAACGTACGTGCAGACACATGCCATCTGTTGCTCCGTAATGGTCAATTTTTTTCGGCAAACCTGTTGCATACTATTAAAATAGATATCATCTACTCTAATGGAGAAAGGATACTCGGTGGCCGCGCCTTTCAATGGTAGTATATGTTCGCGCATTTGCCTTAAACGCCATTGTCAAAGCTTTGTTCGTTATGTGCAGAACAAATCTCCCAGAGAAGGAGCGTTCCTCTTTGAAGCTGACTCGTTTGCGCAAGAGTACGGTAATGCCGTTTGATGCTAAGGGCGAATGGTCTAGATAAGTGGAGTGCATTACACAAAGGTCGGCTTGATCACAGTTTGGCGTTTCTTTTGGCGGGCTCTATTCCCTTTCAAAAATTTGTTTCGGAGATCGCGACGTAGATATCACCAGCTCTTTGAGCTGAGCATACCGATGTTCAAAAGCGCTCACTAAGTATCCTTTTCTTGTAAGCTAGGATCCTCGGAAACGCTAACACACATTGCATATCACGTTTAAACATGTTCTTTTACTGATTCTAAGCGAATTGTGCAAGACAAGGCGAGGCACAAGTACTCAGACAACTGACCGAAACTTTCGCAAAACTTTGAGGAAAGTTTCGTTTCGTTTCTTTTCAAAATTTCGTCTCTTTTGGGAAAGTCACCTGCGGAAGTTCCGTGAACGTGCTGCAGGAGCTCCCAGATGGGGTGCTGCGGAAGTTCCGTAGAATGCGATGCCAACAAAACGGAACACCTGGCCGAGATTTGAACCTTACTCTTTGACTGCGAGACTCACTCCTATTCTCTGCATTACTGACAACACGACAATGCGCTGTAGTTGTTGACAATATCGTAAGAGACAACACATTTAAAGTCCTGCGGAAGTACGGCCAAATAAAGTGCTGCGGAATCGCCGGCATTTTTCAGAATTTCCGCAGAGTTTTGTAACAAGTCCTACGGAAGTTTCCATTTCCAACCAGTCTGATGTGATGATCCTGCGGAAGTTCCCACTTTTTCCCAGTGTTCCACTTTTGTAATATTAAATATATGGTTGTCCGGAAAATAATGTCGCATGGCATCCTACCGCGACAGAATGACCACAAAAAATATTGAGGGGGTATCATTCGATAGAGCAAAGCAAGTCTACAAGCTCGTTCGCAGATTTCCGCGGGAATGTTGCTCCACATGAAGTTCGAATCCAAAACATAAAAAATTTCAGACGCCCGAAAAATCGTGTCTCCGTTCACAGACGTCTTAGAAATCTCCAATTTGCACAGGCATGTACTCTCCACACTAGACATTCACATGTATATTTTTTGGTATTTTTCCATGGCTACAGTACGAGAAATAAAAAGAGGTCAAAAGTGCGAGTATGTCGTGTTTTTCGGGTTTTTTTGCAAACAATTTGATTTTTCTCGAAAACTAGCGCTTGTCTAAAGCTGAAAATTCATGGTTATACTCCTAAAGGTTCATGCTACAGAATCACCCATGTCAGAGAAGCTCAGGATTGCTTTGGCAGAAATATGCCAAATTTGGTTTTCTCAATTTTCAGCCATGGAAAAACCGCGAAAATGCGCGTACGAGTGTCTCGTATAGTGAATCCATGCGTGAGCAAGTTAGGGGTTGTTCTCGGGATTTCTCTGAACGAAGATACGGTTTTTTCGTTTTTTCGGATCTTGAGTGCCTTGTGAAATTTGGCTCCAAACTTCACGCAAATCAAACCTTGCGCAAAGGTTCGGGCTTCAGTTTGTAGAGCTTGCTCTGATCTATCGGTTGATACCCCATTCACATACTTTCGTGCGCACCCTGCTGCGATATTGCATGATAAAACGTAATATAACATTAACGTAATATAACATTATTTTCCGGACGACCTAATAAAATTTTGTGAAACCGCTGCAAATTTACTTGTCCTGCGGAAGTTCCTGTGAATTGCCCGAGTATTAGCTTGATAATGTGTGTCTAGAGCGCTTCCGAGTGTTCTTCTCGGAATGGATGATACATGCTAGACGAAAAACGAACTCTGCAAATAGTTTTCATCAGAGCGTCCCGTTCTGAAATTGCTGCTTCTAATTCTTGCATGTTAGATGGAGGTAACGTCAATTCTTTTGTGCTATTCAACATTTGCTCCATAGTTTCAAAAGGCTCGAAAAAGGTCTGCAACACTGATAATACTCTCGTACTCTCGTAATATAGGCCATACCAAACCTTTAGCTTCTTCTCTGATATGAAAGTTGAATCCTCGATCTCTGCGCTTGATTTCTCTGCTGAAGTTTTTTCCGCCGACAAATTTGGAGAAGCTGTCATCATTGGAGAACTAGAAATGTTTCTGCCTTTTGGACAGCCTTTGTGGATAGCTTGTTGATTTCCTACTTTATTACAGAGCCTGGAGATAGACATCTTGGCGAGCTTAGAATCTTCTTATGTTTCTTATTCAGTAGCTTCTGGAAATTGTTTATGGAATCAGTAAATGTGAGCGTAATCACAAACTTTCATCCTATTTCTTGTCAGCTCATGCTCCATCTGCTTTTGCGGAGTCCATTCAGCAGAACCCTGCAAGCTGCCGATCACTTGGCCTTTCTTTTTGAAAACGCGATATTTGCATCTACCGGAGGGCCTGCAAACAAATCAGTTTGTAAGTTTGTATTGCCGTTTTTCTCCTAGAATTAGTATGTTCTCCAGGCTTTCTATAAGCTTCTATAACTTTCAATAGAGCAGCAAGCTCTACAAAATAGCCCTCAACAGTGCGCACAGAGTTTGCTCCACGTATGATTGGAATTTACAATCTTCAAAGCTACAGTGCTTGAAAAATCGAAAAAAATAAGACCTCGCATCGGAAAGATTTTGCAGATTCTTACAAGGGAACGATCCCAACTTAAGGTGGCGAATTGGATTGAACCGCATACCATTAGATGCGTCTTGATGAGCTGATTCCAAATCTGTCTTCCATATCTGCGACACCGTTAATTGCAAAAAGTTATGAGCGGTTGAAAATGTAAAGTTATCAGGGTTTTAATGCATGATATGCTGTAAAATCCAAGTGGAAGTGCACGACTAGCATGATATTGAGTGTACTTATTCCAGGGAATACTCAGATTTTAACAACTAATTTTTGAGGTATGGCGTTGTACATTTGCCAAATTTGGACTCTTCATTGCTCGTAGCTTTTACCAAAGAACTTTAGTTGCTTTTTAGCTGTTCAAAAACACTTATCTGTGCTTCTTTAAAATCTGAGTATTCCCTGGAATCAGTACACTCAATATCATGCTAGTCGTGCACTTCCAAGTTGGATTCTAAAGCATATTATGGGTTAAAACCCCGATAACTTCACATTTTCAACAGCTCATAACTTTTTGCAGATAACGGTGTCGCAGATATGGAAGACAGATTTGGAATCAGCTCATCAAGACGCATCTAATGGTATGCGGTTCAATCCAATTCGCCACCTTAAGATGGGATCGTTCCCTTGTTAGTTGCACAGATGCATATTCTCCACCCCCACAATTTAACACGTTGACGACCGTGTGCACGCGTATGCACGCCCTGACTCCTGTTCAGCACTTCCATGCATCAGTTTTTCATGTGTAAACGAAAAGTTCCAAGGCAGCTTCCATGCGGTAATAAACTGGTAGTCTGATTGTCATATAGAACACAGGACACCACGGTAGCTGTTCTGGAATCTAAGCCGCAGGTTCAAACATTCAGCCCATCGTGTCTAGTCGATCGTCAACGTGTTGAATGTACATTTGCTGTTTTTTCCTTTTCTTAAAAGCGAGAGATACAAATAGGTCAAAATGTCATGTGAGATTGTTTACCTTCTTAGGTGTTTTTGAAGAGAAGTAACACCCGAAAGACTGAAAACTCATAATTATAATCCGGTTAGAAAATCGTGCCGTTTTTCAGACCAATCCTCAACTCGTTCAGAGTAGTGAAAGCGTCTAAACAGTGTTCTATGCAAAAAAATATCCAGTTGTATAATCGTTCGGAACCTTCAATGTTCACTCGGATAATCGTCAAAAATCCAGCTCATAGTTTCTATCCTTGATTTAGCTATTTTCTGTATCATTTCTCTCATTTTCGAAAATAACAAGACAGAGTAAACAAAGCGCAATGCAATGCCCTTTTGTTATCTATAGCTGGCTTTTCAAAACTCCAAAAAAATGTTTTGATGCAAACAGATTCCATATTCGGTTATCTCCAAACTTAGAAAATGCAAACAGCGAGCAACCAAAGTGTCGTTCGATGCAGCCTTTTCTCCGCTTTTTGTTAGAGTTTTTCTTCCCTTTATGAAGGCTTCGAGATTCACATCCACGTCTCAGGGTGTACCCAAAAAATTAAAATTCGTTAATTCGAAGCGGTAAGCGTACACCTGCTTGTAAATTTAGTGCTAATCATAATATCGATTCTGGAAATTTGAAAATCCTAAGTTTCATTGGTATTTGTACTTCACGACTTCGTAATAGTAAGAACATTCAAATTTCAAAAAATAATTCACAAGCCAATTAAGTTGCCTCATTTTGTTGCACTTTGCATACTCTATTCCAACTGCTACAGAACTTTTCTGATTCACTAAAATGAAAATTTTCAAAACTAGCTAGAATTAGGTAGGCGGAAACGATGGGTTGGAAGATCCGACGATCATTCTAGCCACCATTAAAGTTCTCAGAACAAATACATCATGGTATTCTTTGCTTCAACCAGATCGGCTTCTGGAAGGCGGGACTTCATCTAGGGGGCGACTGCTCGCGCCCGCGACGCGTCTGCGCTTCCTTCTTGGTGCTCCCTGTTCATTTTCTAGCCTTAATTAGGTCACCGAGTTCCGCCTTCCAGCCGCCAATCTGCTCAGACAATCGCCGAGGGCAGGCGGGCACCGGAAAAATAGATTGCTGATCTCTCGCACCCCGCTCGCGGATTTTTTGGAAAGCAATCAGGACTTTTCGGAAGACCGCTTGCTGAGTTCTCGATTCCTCAGAGATTCAGCAATATATCTGTAAAAGATAAGAGCGAAAAAAAATTCAACAGGCGGTCTCTCAAAAATCCGCTGACTCAGCAAGCGGTCTTCCGAAAAGTCCTAATTTCTTTCCAAAAAATCCGCGAGCGGGGTGCGAGAAATCAGCAATCTATTTTTCCGGTGCCCGCCTGCCCCCAGCGATTGTCTGAGTGGTTGAAGCAAAGGATAGAATAAGGAAGAGTTTTTGCATTAAGCAGTATTTGGAGCATTTGGCTATCATTATTCTAAACTACTCGAGAATAGGTCTGAAAAACGGCACTACTTTTGCCCCGACTTAAATTCTCCAAGAATTCATGTAGAGTCACATGTCGAAACAGCCCAGCATAATTTTTAAAACAGGAAATTATCATTTCTTGAATAAGGATGCTTGAACAAGCAGTGTGTGCGCGAAATTTTCTGGAGATACGTGTTTTTCTTTTTTTTTTGAACGTTTATTTGTATTTAGATGGGCTCCAAACACAGCGTGGAATAAGCTTTGTGTAAATGGTTAAATATATCTTGTAGAGCTTGTTTTGTTGTATCGAGCAATCCTCTAAATCTTGTTCTGAAAGCAAAAGAGTATGATGAGGGAAGCAATTGAATAAGGAAGAAAACGGTGAAAAGCTATGACATATCTTAACACGTTGACGACCTTATGCATACGCACGTATGCACGCCCTGACTCCCATTTAGCATTTTGTGCATATGCACGCTAGTTTTGGGTGTAAGCGAAAAGTTTTAAGGTAACTCTTAGGCAGTAATACCATTGGTGGCCTGATTGTCTTGCAGAACACAGGACAGCTGTTCAAAAGTTTTGGACGCGAAATTGGGTGTGTCCGTTTTTGATGTGGTAAATACATATCAATTACCGTAGCAGGATGTTGTGCAACACGACCAAGATGGCAATTTCTCTTTATTAACTTCGGCCAACGTTTCGGCGCAATCGCCTTCGTCAGAGCCTAGAAAGCCGAATACATAAGGATCTCTTTCCTCAGACGTCAATGAAGAAGCAAGACAATTCAGTTGGAAGCTAGTACGAAGGAAAGAAACAAAGCCACGGTAAAGCAATACTCACCTTAAACGTTGCATAGGGGGTACGAGGGACCACCAACTATGCAATAACTATACCTCTGCCCTATTTATAGTAATGAGGTGACGTGACCTAGCCTTAGAAACCGCAAAGGGCCTGATATGGCGCGAGTTCGTTAGTTATTGCAATACACTCCTCCTTCCGGTTCATTTTTGGATTTTTAGCGTTGATCCAAAACGCTTCCAAAGTCTTGCGCGATAAGATTTCGGGTTCGTAGGACAAAATCGAGGCTCCAATTTGTATTTCAGCATTTTCGTGTTGCAGTAAGCGATGACTACCGAGCGGTGTACTGGTCCTTGACTTGTTCAGTCCATCTAGATGTTCCTTTATGCGGCAGCAAAGCGGGCGCCCAGCTACACAGAGTTTCCACCTTCTCGGAAAAGCGAAACATATCAATTACGTTTTTCCGAGAAGGTGGAAACTCTGTGTAGCTGTTTTGAAAGCAAACAAGGATAAATCAGGCAAAAAAAGGTATCACAACGCTTTTCTCGAAAGGAGATTGCTCAGATATGGCCATTGCATGGTTTATTGGAGGCAAATTTGAGGAACCTTAATTTGTGTGAATCTTAGTAAGACTCTGTGATATACATGTTTCTCTGAACAAAGTTTGCATGTTTTATGGATAAGCGTCAAAAGACTCCCACATGATGTTTTCCTGCATACGCGCGTATGCACGGGCCAAATGCGCAAAGGACGTAGTGGGAGATTTGTCCAAAATGGCGCGATCGTCAACGTGTTAATAGTGATACCTGGTAAGCCCGGAAAAGACTGAAGCATGTTTTACATCAAGTTGATTTGGGCTGAACTTAAACGTTTTGAAGCTATATATCTGTGGTATGTGAACCGCACAATCAAGTAGGTGTTAATTCCATAGGCCATATGACGTAAACCACTCACTGACTAATGAGTAATTTTCTGTTCAAATGTTTTTTAATTTGTTTTATTTCTCAGTGTCCCTTTAGGATAATGATCCCACCCTCTTAAACTGTTCATTTTTCTGATCTTATTACGCAAATCGCCAATACTTCCCTCCGGAAATGTTGGTGGTACATAGAGAACTGCATTACCACCCCTAAAGTGCACATTTGATTCTCGCTGTTGACGTCATTTATACGGAGCACATTGAAAAGAACAGAATGCACCTTGCCACCTTGCTACCGGTACTCATTCGTAAATTTAGCACAACGTGACAATCATCAACAATTCCGTAGCTTGAAATGGACGAGTTTTCGTCTCTAAATTCAAGTATAATTGGGTTTTACTCAGAGAAGCACTTTTTGCAAAACACCAACTTCAACACTTTGTCTTTGTACAGAAGAAGCTGCTTTTCAGGAAGCACATCAGTCTCTTCAGATATGGCATTTTTTAGTTCAGAAACCGTGCTTCTAGGTGACATCACTACCTTTGCCTGAAAATGTGAAGGATATTGTAGATAGTTGAGGCAATGAGGCAAAATGAATTCGTTATGAGAAGTCTTATCTGCAGTAAGCAAATGATGGCTGTAAATGTCTAACGTCTATACCACTAATCAAAAAATAGTATTATATGAAGAAAAAGTACAAAGAATTTGGCGTCTATGAGAAACTCTGCGCGCACGCGTCGAACACATTCTAGTTCATAGTTTGAACAGACTATTGTATGCGGGGGGGGGGGAGAAAGGGGGGGGGGGGTAACTGAATACCACGTCAGAGCTTCAATCTTTTTAAATTACTCTGATATTGATCCATAGGCCGAGAAGATAAAAGGTTTGGTTATCCCAGAAACGAGGATCGACCCGCTGAACTAACAACGAACTTCGTCCCAGTACGCCGCTGGATCCTCTATTTACAAAAGGAAAAATATCTCGTTCTTCGAATTAGCGTCCTACGAACGGACTTTAGAAGTTTTTTGCTGTTGTCAAGAAAAATTGTTTTTAGCGGCTCTGATAAACATTACATTTTACTGCCTTTGTAAAAACGTAAACTTTTACGAAATCCGTTGGTGACTTCGTAAAACATAATCCAACAGACTCAGGATCGGAGTGAAGTCTATCGCAAAATTTGTTCATAGTAAATTATAGAGAAACTTGCAACAAAAGGCAAAAATCTGCTTCACAGGTGGGATCCAGCCCCAAAGCATTATCTACACCAAATGCACGTCAACGCTTACCTCCGGTACACCCTCCATGACACTATCTATCGTAATTTCTATCAGGTCACCATGATTTTCTCCTACTGATAAAGAATTTTCGAGTGGTGGTGTTTTTTCTAAGAAAAAAAATCATTTCACATGAAACTTTAGTGAAATAAATGTGCTTGCCACATACTTAGTGATCCCTGTGTTAGTGCCCGTGTTCGTTCTAAACCGAGTCGCTCATCAAAGGGTCAGGAGTTTTCAGAAAAGTCAAATAACTTACGTGCAAGAGATGGAGATTTGGGAGATCTTCCTGAAATCAACAAACAGTTTAAACACTCGAAAGAAACTTCATCTCATTTTTTGAATTACCCTCATTTACTCAAAAATGACATAAAAACTTCATTTGCGCGCAGTTGAAAAGAAAGGCCATACCAAAACAAAAGACCATAAGTGCTTGTCGGCGACTTGTCTTAACAGAGTGAGCTACAATGCAGTCGTCTTGATAGCATTCCTCAGCCGGTGCGCCCTCCCCGTCATGCGGCTTTGCTAGTATTTGACTTGAAGGCAGTGTCTCACCAAAATTGGAGTAGTGCGGATCTCCACACATTCTACTAGAGGGCCCCCTATATAGGCCACTGCATTAAATTCGACTCGATTTGGCCCCTTCTGCGCTGAGGAAGATTCGCTCAATGGGGTACGTGGAGAGCGATTTGGTACGCGAGCAACTTCTCGGTCTCTCCACACGTCTTAACATGTTCCTCCACATACCGTCTACCTACGTTGTGTTGTTGCCCTGAAGTTAGAAGAACGACTCGTCCACGTTGCTTCCGCAGGGTCTCCAGAAAACAGGGTCGGAGAACTTCGTGTGGTTTCAAAACACTGTTAGAACAGGGTCAGTTAGAAATGTAAAATGCAAAAATCTCGGCAACTATGGTGAGACACGCCCTTGCAAGTTACATGTGCCTCATTCAAGATCAGCACGGAAGACTCTGGCGCTGCAGACATTTGCAGCATAGTAAAGACACCAATCAGAACAGGTCTTTTCTATGTTTTAGGGGGCGCATTTATCTGTTGCTTGATTACTTTTTTTAAATCAGCAGTGTGAATGTGACAGTGAAGGATCTCTTGTTGAAAGGAAGCGAGTGTATGGCTTCAACACTTTCAAAATTAGATTTCGTGTCATTGGATTTTCTCACCGATCATATCTATGCTCCCACGTTCGTAAAGGCCTTGCGACCTCGCTAACCTCTTAAAACCCATTCTGCCATTGTTTATACTTTACACGTACACTATCGACCATAGAAATAAGGATCCAAGCATTGAATGAGAGCAACTTATCGAGGACTGGTCCATCCATAGTCTATCAAAAAAGTAAGGCGATTCACTCTGGAGTCTAAATAATCATCGACTTCTCAATTGACTCAGACAATAACTCGAACGAGCGGCGGGCCTTTACAGCTTGCCGGGCGGTATCTTGGATCCGAATCGAATAAAAGTGCTATCATTTGAATAAAGCACTCGAACATATTCGCATTCGAAATTCGATATTCTGAGTCCTTCCATTTTCGAATAAAACTCGGAACTCGAATAAGCAAAAAACAGGGTTTTGAATAAAATTCGAAAACTCGAATACTCAAATAACGAGGATTCGAATAAAATTTGAATCGAGTAATCAAAAAACGGAATTTCGAATAGGTTTTATTCGAATGTTGTATTCGATTGTTTATCGAATTCGTATTCGAATGAAGATTTTTAGAAGTTCAAGATATTGGGTTCCGAATCGTGTGGCACAGCCTGAGAAGAGTCTGCAAACAAAAATTACAGTGATTTTTTCCTCAAGCACCATATAAGTCAGGAAGAAAAAGTTTATCAGAAAGAGCAGAAAAAGCTGCGTCAAATGTCACCCTGGTTGCCGGCCGTTTATTGCTCTTGAGGATTGGGGTGCCAATATTTGGTATTTGGTAGCGTTTGGAAGCGTTGATAGCGTCAGAAAAATATTTTCGAAAATTTTGCCATGGGAGTTCCAAAAAATATTTTGTATTGCATTTTGTTTATTCCAGCAAACATGTCAAAGCTAGTTTAAAAGTTGAAAACAGAAATTTTAAAAGTAGCCAAACTCAAAATGGCCAAAAACATGGGTTGGAGATTTTAACGACTATTCGAGAGGCATCAAAGAAATCTAAGCGAAAACATAACTGTCAGAAAGAGGAGGAAATTTGCATCGAACACTGCCTACGGTCAATCGTTATTCTGAGTGGTTTGAGCATGGGTCTGAAAAACAGCAAACACTTACTGACACACTTAGTATTTTAAGTGAAGGACATTGCAGCTGTAGTGAAGGATCAGACGGTTGCTGAATTTCGCAGTTGCATCATGTCAGTAGTTTAACTTGCGAGTTGGGAGTTCGTACGATGGGGTAAATGAGGACGCTGTTCATGAATAAAAAGTTATTTTATCGATTTTGTAGACTATGAGTTACGGAGCTGGAGTTGGTGTAGGGGTGTGAGGGTGCTGATTATAAGAAAATCGGCTTTAGCCGGTATGTGAGCAAGTTTTAGACATGATTGCTCTAGTAATACGATAAATCATTCGAATATTTATTCGAAATTCGACTCTCAATGCTCGGATATAATCGATATTTATTCATTCAATATTTTTGATTTTCCGATTTTATTCGGTGTTTATTACGAAAATTTTCATCGAATTTATTCGTGATTCGTTTACTCGAGATTTTTTTTCGAATCTATTCAGTATTCGCTTATTCGATGAAAAATTTCAAATCAGACCCAAGTATACCGGTCGGGCGGCGACCCTTAAATTGTGGCGTCACCTTGTTTCGGACGAGCGGCGTGCCTTCGCTAATGAGCCTGCGAGCAGCGGACCTTGCTCGGACCAGTAGCGGCCTATTTCTTTGAGGTGGGCGGCGTTCCATCATTATCATACTCATTATCTCACATCATTTTGAAATTCTCACATTGTTGTTTTATTCATTTTTGTCAGTGCTGTATCGATTTGGTGTTTGAAGTGATTACAAGTCAACCCTTTCCATTACGATGGAATGGACTTACATATCTCACTATTTATCTCTCAAAATGGGAAACGAAGATAGTTGCGGGGTTTTGACTAGTGAGTTACGGAGTAAAACTTAGAAGTGAGTTCTTACTATGAGAGCGCAAATTCCTGGCATCAGCTTCAGGAAGCCCGCCTTCTATTGTTCGATAACAAGAGGCGTGATGTTTTTAGTTACAGATGTGACAGAAGATGAAGGACGAAATTTGAAGTAGGTTTACTTTTGATCCTAGTAAATAGTGAATGCATAAGAATGTTTCCGGACACATTTATGACGGTGTCTGCACAGGCCGTCAATTATTCAACTGAAATTGCCCGAGTTGAATACGCATACGCCAAATGTTCTTCATAGCTCGCTTTTATGAGGATTTAGGAATATAACATATACTTCGGTCTTCATCTATAAGATTTCCGCTACATTGTTTGATCCTTCACCAAAGCTAAAAACGGATTGACATCAATCATTACTGTGTTCATATGGTAACGTCTATCACCGTCGATTTCACGTTGCATTTATTGTTCATCACAAATGCATGTGTTTTTTCTTACATTCTTTTTTAATAAATTAAGCATCAGAGTGTGTGTTTGTAGCAAAAGCAAGTGCGGATTATTAGCGCCTAATCCGTATAGTGCTGTACATAGTGGACCGGTGGCTCAGTTCTGCCGGGCAAGCGGCGGGATGCATCAGTCGCCCGCTAAAGGTATTCCGCTCGCCCACTTTATTCTCTAGCTGGCGGGCGGCGTGCCTTTAGAGAACGGACAGCGAGAGGCATGATTGCTCGCCTGTTTGAAGCGCATACGATGGTCCGAATTATTGTGCGGGAAGATGCTGTTTGATTAGTTTGTCCCCCAGGCTTCAGACACTTACCTTCCTTGTTTATTCGCACACCGTACTCGAATCAGCCTTTTTTTAGTTGCGATTGCATTGAGTTTCTGATGAGTTCCACTTGCCAAGTCAGCTTCATTCGCTCAAGAAATTCACTCGTTACCTTGTTTGAACTGCGACCAATCAATAGTTTTTGGCATCTTTCCAGTTTGTCCCATTTTTATGCGTGCTTCCTTCATCATACCTACTGCGAGCTTTAGCTTCGAGAGTTCTTGGCGCCGACAGAAGAAGTCATCATTTTTAAAGGTATGTTGCCATGGCATGCATGCTTTTTTACTTCTTTAGCTGCTTGACTGCTTGTCGTACGGATCAGACTACCACCGGGGCGGTATGTATCAATTGCCCGTCCGGGTAAGTTACCCGGACAAGTACTTTCTGCTTCATAGTTCGGTGCTCCAGGATCTGTGTTCTACCTTGTTTGTTCATTTCTTGGAGGCTCTACTACCCTAATATTGTAGCACAGTGAAAAGCAGCACTTTGCTGTATAAACTGAGATTCGCTATTTGTATGATCCCGAACGGGATCCCCCGCTAATTACGCTCATTTCCAAAGTTATTTACACCCGCAAAAACTCGGTGAAAAGTCACAGAGTTTTGCTTTCGATCTATTACGACAGTGTTTCGCATGTTTTTAGTAGCACAAATGAAATTTGCAAGTTTTCAGTTTTTCGATAAAGCCCAACTCGCGCACAGGTTCATCGAAAATTTTATCAACTTGATTTTTCACTTACTTCCTTCACAAACATGCGTAGCAATGTCGTGATAGATCGACAGCGAAACCCTATGATGACGTTTTCATTGAGTTTTTGCGGATATAAATAACTGGAAATGAGCGTGATCAGCGGGAGATCTAATTCGGGATCGTACAAATAACGAATTATCCCAGCTTATACAGCGAAGCGCTGCTACTCATGGTGCTACAATATTAGGGTAGTAGAGCCTCCAAAAGATGAACAAACAAGGAAGAACACAGATCCTAGAGCACCGAACTATGAAGCGGAAACTACCTGTCCGGGTAACTTACCCGGACGGGCGATTGATACATACCGCCCCAGATCTATTTGTCAAAGGCGCCCAGCTAGAGTAGACTCTGAAATTTTCTTACACACAACCGTGTTCGCAAAATTGCGATCTCTCAAATATAGATTCTCAATCATTAGCAGCCTCTCTTAGCGCATAAAACCTCTGGATGGCCGGCTGTGATGGTTCACCATTTGCTCGGTGTCGTCATCATCCTTATCAATTGGTGATCAGCAGGAGATGTATTGGCCATTGGCTTATTGCTTTAGGTCCTTGGTCTCCATCGCTGCATGGCGACATTAAAGCAGATCCAGGATATAATTTAGTTGAGCGGTCCTCGCTGGCGAACGTAAAGAACTAGCGTTTCTTGAACATGTATTTTCCATAATTGTGTGGTTCGGCATTTTCAAGAAGCGTTCGCTATTCTCATTTCTCTGTCTACATCCGTTTCAGGCCTAGCAGCGCTCACTGTATCCTCGTGAGTAGCCCATATGTCGTTTGTCGCATCTCATATGCAGTTCCACAATTTGTTATCAGTTTGTATACCTACACAGCGTCTTTTACACAAAATGATAATTGCTCGGAAGTTCTAGACTAGACATTTGTGATTAAAGTAGTTCTGCGCGAGAACCCGATTTTGTCCCGAACTCAGGACCGGGCATATATTACGCGATTTCATCGTCTTGTCTAAGGTTGGGACATATCGGTTTTCGAGCAAGACTACCTTTTTTACCGCGATTTTCATTTTGTGAGTTGCCTCTTGCGGGACTTAACCACGAATGTCTGAGAAGCACTATTTTTGTTTCTAAGATTTGCATGGCCAAAGTAGAGATATGAACGCGATATCGTATCTGCCTACAAGCACGGTCGGCCATTGTAGTTACGATAACACCTCATATATTGCTATCCATGCGGTGTAGAAATGCGAGTTAGAAAATCATTATTTTGGCACTTACGAGTTTCCTTAGCATAATTTGTACATAGCAACGGTAACAGTGACTTCCGAAAGTTTGGGTGGCGCTCCATGAATTGTGTTTCAGCAGATTCTCTCGGTTTTCTTATCCCAAACTGCGAGTGCATACTTTTTCGTTACGCACAACATGTACACTGTAGTCCTATCAAAGATAGAGTCAGCTTGAAACATGTGGTTCCTTTGAGCCATGGTTTTGGTGGGAGACAGTCTTTTCACGCGCGGTGTCTAGCGCCGCCCTGGTTCTAACTTGTATTGACACTTCACGCATAAACCTTTCCTTCCCCCTCCTTGCTTGGGCAAAAGCCGGCGCAGGATGTGTGTCGCGCGCGGCTTGGTCCTGCGTGAAAAGCATTACGGTCGTGCAAATCGTCCTGTGGTACTGCATGGCAAACCCATACTGCGCTTGAACGCTAATCAGCACAGCCTCACCTGCTACATGATTTTGTCTTGAGTCACCAAATCCTGTTTGCAGAAAAATAAAGATGAGACTCTACTAACATTGTTTAAACAAAATTGTGGAAGTAGGGTGAGCAGTAGTTGAGCACTTGAAGCGTCAAAATCGATGAACAGATAGAGGCGTCCAAATCTTTCGAAAGTAGAAAAAATCTTCACTCAGATTAAAAGATATGTGTACAAAGTTTTAGCACTAACCGTTCAATGAGCGTTTTTAAAGCGCATAACCGAACTGACCAGAGCATGACAGAGATTTAGTTTTTTTTATATACATTGTTGAAATTGAACAACAATTTGTTCATCAAAAAAGATGTAACTTCTTATGTATATCTGTGGAACCTACTTGTGGAAGAAGAAGCGCGGATGCGAACTGCAATTCAAACAGTAGTCGGACACATCGATAAATAATATTGAAAAAACGTACTTGCAGGAGAACGTGAAGCAGGAACTTGTCCTGAAATTTGCAGAAAATTAGCTCCGAAAGATTTGCAATTATTTGTTTGGTTATCGTCTTCATAGACCAAAATGATAGAAAATGGCATGCACCGTTATGACGTGCCGCCTCAATATACACTGTAAGTAACTATGTCGAACTTAGATTCTGCTAAGTTCATTCTGCTAAATCTCCCAGTCGGTGAGAGAGTTTAAATTCAGAGCTTGACTTTCACAAACACTCATTTGAGAGCAAGAGGATTTCTTTTTTAGCTAAGAAAAATGTTTATTCGCCTTGTCACGAGGCAGCCAACCTTCTATGCGAAAGGCAAGTACATGTACCGTATCATCAACACTGCTTTTCGTTTGAAAACTTAATTAATCAGCAGAGATAACACCGTGTAAAATTGTACATGGGATCCCAACTAAGGCGCCAACTGCACAAAACCAATGTCAGGTTCTCAAGAAGCGAGAATGGACGATGACGATAGGTCAGGTCAGCTTTTCTTATGGAAGCATCAACGGAGATCAAACCGGCATTATCGGCGTGGTAGTTTGACACACTGACCGCTAGACCTTTCAGCTTCTTCAGCACCTACCTACATCACTCGTTCGCCTGTTCCAACGCCTGAACTTGAGAAAGCTCATAACTTTTACCGGAAGATCATCTCAGGTGACCGAACACAATTCTGCGTTCAGCTTTTCACTACGAACATCATGACATATAGTTTATCATTTAGAATCAATGGGCATTGGATACCAAGCGCTTCATGTCTGGTAAGAACAAGGTCTGTCAATTTTCTGAAAATTATCCTATTTTCTTCTCGCTTTCGTATCTGGATGTGGCAATCAGGCAGTGTTAGAACCGAGGGGTCGCGTTCCCCTACCCCGATGGGTCACGAAATGTTTCAAATTTACTTTAATCTCTATATATATAAAACTCAAAAATTGTCTGTTTGGAGGGTATGTGATTCATAGAAGCGCCCACGGCTGAACCGATTGAGCTGAAACTTTGTACACAGATGTTTTTCACCCTGGAGACGGTTTTAGGCTACTTTTCACAAAAATTCGTCGGGTCCTTTCATCGATTTATTGATTTGTCTACTGACTTTAAGAAAAATGAAAGCTTGCAGTCACTGTCACTTCATTTCACCACAGCCATGTGAACAGGGACGGTAGATCTCATTTTTATACGGTGGTTAGGCAGCATGCGGTGACTCTACGTGAGTTGCTTAGTGGATCCCTCTATTACTAAAGGTTTTCTTGCACGTTGTATTCTGTGCAAGAAAGCAGGGCAAAGCGAGGTGGGTGTGGAGGTGAAGCGCATGACAGCGGGGAGGGAATTCATTTCACTCGGGAGTGTATACCTCTTACGGTTTGGCTACCCAGTTCTGTGCGAGACGGGTATGCCAGCTAAACATATAAGGGGGGAAGGGGCTCGCAGTGCAGGTGAACAACGGCCCGGGCTGGACCGGGAAAGTCAACTAGTGGGTATAAAAATGCGCAAGTGACTTGTTTATTCTTGTATATATCGTCGAGTCATTTGCAACTTAATATGCGTAGTGCACAATATACACGCTAACTGACGAACTGCGAAACTAGAACCTGCTCAAATCCAGTGATTTCTCCTTGTTTCCTTGATTCTTTTGTTTTAGTTGGTTATATGTTAGTCAGTAGAACACACTTCTACATTTTGTTAGGCTAGAAATTGTTTTACCGTGAAGTTACTAGTATGGGTGCCGTCGCTAATAGGGCTTAGTGTGCAATCTCACATATTGAGATACAAATGACTCTGTTTTAATTAAAACACTTTTTAGAATTTTTCAAAAATTCGAGTTAGCCTTGTGAAAGAAACTTGTTCGGAGTGCGTGGCGAATGACGCGCCTTGTTTCAAATTCCCCCTCCCTCGAACGGAAATCCTGGATCGCCAGTGGCAAATAATAGGACACATGTCCAGTTTGTTCCGCTACAAAAGATTGCCAGTATATCGAATGTCGTCGTTTGCAGCGCGCAGTGTGCAATATAAGAAAATTTTTATCGTCCTCCATTTCGTCTGTTCCCTTGGACTGAGTTTTTGATTTCTGAACCCTCTCCGGGACTCCTCATCAGTTCACTTGTTGAGTGATCGCGCATATACTCACTAGCTGGCTTGCCTTTCTTGCTCGAGACACGGCTCAAATGGTCCGCGACGTGATTATATGCGCATCTTTTAACCCTTATTATCTCCAACCAGGGTCAAGCCTGTTCATGCGATCCTAGGCCCTCTTTTATGACCCCCCCCCCCGCCCCACGTATTCCCCGCCCTCCAGCCAATAACAACCATGAAAAATTCAGCACGGGAACGGTTCACTTCAGTCATTACTATTGACTATTTTATAATAAATCATTTTCTAGTGACAGTTAATGAACTCTTCTGCCGTATATGGATATTCGGCATAACTCATTCATGTAGCAGTACCGAAAGATATTGACAATGGTTCTAGAAATTAAAACGTTTCAGACTGTAATGACAGTCTCGTAAGCGACACTATTTTTTTACAGGGAGAAAAAACGAAATTTTTGAAGCGTAAAATATGTTTTCGACTAAAAAGCTTAATTCCTACCTTTTGCACATATTTTCCTGTGAAAAAAACCGTTTTAGCGCCATCCACAACGATGTCAAAAACGTGCATGAGCACGGTATTTTGAAAATTCGTAACTAAAGTCAGGAAAGAATTAAAAGGCTGCTCGAATGAACAGATTATGTAGTATGGTGCACAGGCTATCCATAGGAAAAGTTTCAGTCATTGAAGAGCAATGAGCTCGAACAGATTCAGATGCGATCCTGAAAAGCAAAAACTGGGATGTTTAAGTTCAAAATTTCATATCTCACCAGAGATGTAATGAAACAGCCTGGAGTTTTTGCGATGGAAAGTCGGGGGAGCTCTCCCACCTCTCCCTCCCTCTTTCTCTGATCACCATGCTGGGCTTAAATTTACGATACTAGCTTACCTGATACAGTGCTGGCCAAAACTATAATTCCACCATGAAAACTGCCGTAGCTGATTTGCTTTTCAACGAATTCATCTGAAATTTGGTATAGTTGTGTGTATAACAGGCTACCATCAGAAACTAGAACGGATCCCGTTTTTGTTTGATTATTCAGGAAAAAATCAAAAAAATCGAAAAAAGCAGGCTTGAAGGTTGGCCAAAACTATAATTCCACCTAAGGTTTCTGCCCACTAATGTAGTTCTCGGCTTCCAAACTTTTTGTGCATATACATAGTTAAAAGTCAATACAGTTGCTTTAGTCCAGCTGTATCATATCTTTATAAAAAATGCTTATCCGCTTTTTTTCGCTTGAAAATTTTTTCATGCTTATTTTGTTTCCGAGAATGTGTTTTTATGGGTGATTCCGCAGTGTTTTGACTGGTTTGGAAGCATCTTTCTAATAGATGCTTAGTGAAGTGAGAACTACAAAAAAATTTGAGTTTTCATATTAAAAGCCACCTGACATAGACCTAACAGCAAGCCTGCTCTCAAATTTTTGCCTTCAAAATTGGTTTACGTTATTTTTTGATCTCAAAATGATGTAAGGCATTAGTTACATAAAAAGAAGTTTGTACACTATACTTACGATTGTTCGCCAAGTCACATTTTGCTTCTTTTTCAAAGCATAAATTTTCGCGGTTCAATAATAATATTTAGGCAATCCCAAAGAATTTAACAAGTGGTATCTTTTCAGATTTTTTGCCACAATTTAGTTGCTAGATAGTGAAAACACCTTGTATTGTATGTTGCCTTGTGACTCACGTGAGCATTACGATCAGAACCAAAAATAACAAGGCTTCTTGCAAATCAGTTTTTGCAGATTGAATTCCTGATTAGCCTGCATGCTAGGACCTGCGGAAATCTGCAACCACTGCATCCGACTCTTATACGTACAGCAATGTTATTACAAGGTTATTACTCTACTTTACGCTCACGAGAACATTGCAGAAAGAGTTTGAAGGCAAAAATTCAAGCGCAAATCTTTAAATTTTTTCTAGTTCTCACTTCGCTAAGCATCTATAAGATAGATGGAGCCCTATAGTTTTTTAATCGATCAAAAAACTGCGAATTTACTCATAAAAACACATTCTCGAGAACAAAATACGAAAGTATTTTTAAGCGAAGAAAAGCAGATAGACGTTTCTTGTAAAGGTATGACACAGCTGGACTGAAGCGATTGGTTTGACTTTTGATTATGTTTATGCATAAAAACTTTTGAAACCGAGAATTACTTTAGTGGACGGAAACCTTAGGTGGAATTATAGTTTTGGCCAACCTTCAAGCCTGCTTTTTCGACTTTTTTTTGATTTTTTCCTGAATAATCAAACAAAAACGGGATCCGTTCTAGTTTCTGATGGTAGCCTGTTATACACACAACTATACCAAATTTCAGATCAATTCGTTGAGAAGCAGATGAGCTAAGGCAGTTTTCAGGGTGAAATTATAGTTTTGGCCAGCCCTGTAAAAGGCTCGCCCTCAACTACTGCATCCTTCCCGCGAAAAAATGAAATCCACCGTTCTTGTTTTCACGGTATAATGAAAATAAGTTGCTACCGGTTGACAAAAACTCATTTTCATTATAAAGTATCGAAAATTATTGAAAAGCCCGCGATTTGCCGCGAATTGCAGCTTAAAACTGCGCAAGGTTGAGATCTATGTTACAAGGTTTAGCTCAATCCATTCATCCGCTGGCATTTCTTGTTACTCATATACTCTCCAAACGGACAATTTTTGAGTTTTATACATGTACAGTATCAAAACTCCATGTTTGCTACACATCCCTTGAGACCAACGGATGCCGTTCGGAAACTGAACCATAGAAACCCGTCTAATCTGTATGCACATAGGGTGCTTTGGGAAATGTGTGCACTGTTTGGTCTTTAATGTCTCTCTTTCATGAAATCTTTCGAATTTTTGAGTTTCCGTTCTGCACATAACTTCAACTCAAATCTGCATTCTAAGGGAGCGTTGTTTGTTGCTGCAAAATTACAC